AATCTTTGTCCTTGAGGGCCACTATCCTTCATGTTTTAGATGTTTCTTGGCTCCAACATACCAGACTTGAATCAATAAGTGATTAACAGGTTTCTACAGAACTCAAAAAGGTGATTTAACCATTGAATCAGGTGTGTTGGAGCAGGGAAACTGGTAAAACATACAGGATAGTGGCCCTCGCGTACAAGGATTGGACACATCTGCCTTATAGCAAGTGTTCTACACTTGTACTATCCAATCTTTGTACTTGAGGGCCACTATCCTTCATGTTTTAGATGTTTCTCTGCTCTAACACCCATGATTTGAGTCAATTATTAATGGGTTTCGGGTTTTTTAACGGAGAAAAAAACCCCTGTAGAACATGCAGGATAGTGGGCCTCAAGGACCATGATGGGATACTGTTGCGTTAGACGATATGAAAAAATGTTCACATCAGTAACGGTAAATTAGAATAATCTTAACGTCAACTTTTCTTTTGTTATTTGGCCTTCGTGTGTATCTAAACCGCTCCTGAAACCCACTGTCCGCTAATATGTGATCTAAAAAACGAAACCACAATTTCAAAGCTTGATCTTGGATTGAGGAGCGTTGCAGCTGTGAAGGGCATTGCCCGTCAAACCGGACATTTTTTTTGGCTGTTCGGTTGTTTGTCAAATATGTGCACCAGCTTGAATCAGCGGCAATCAGGCAGACACGATGCGAGCGGGTCCGCGAGAGCATCTGCTGGCACAGCGGGCAGCGATATGTGATAAACGCTGATTTCACCCTCCACTGGATCGAGCTGGCGATGATAGCCACCTCTCCCCGCACTCGTCCGTCCTATTAAACCCTCATTATTCATTTACCTCCAGCCGCAGACGGCTGACTTGCATGGAGCGAGCGCACCCAAACACGCTCCAGCAAAAGAGAATTGCTCTCATATTTCCGTTTCATCTAAGGCGGTCAAGGACACACACGGCTATCTCACACTGGCAGGGTTGTGACTATTTCTTTCAGTTGGAAGCAGATTCAAACATTTTGTAATGGATATGCATGTGCTCAGGCACACACGGCTTCTCCGTATAGTGCCGCGGCGCCCTGGCAAGGAGCTTAATTCTATCAGGCTGTGAGCTGGACAGCCGTAATTACATTTGTGACACAAATCCTGTCTCTCAAATTGAGCGTTTTATTCCTGAGCGCTCCCGCCTCTCTATTTATAACCCCTTATTCGCCATAAATCCCACTTCCTCTCAGAAAGTCAATTTGAGACTTAAAAGGCAGCGACGCTTGGCTTAGTTTTCCTCCCCCTTTGACTCGATCGCTGCTTCGCTTTCACTTTTACCCTTTTTTATTTAAAAAGGGCTTTATTTAAGATCTGAAGGTGAAGTGCTATGATGCAAGAAGTCCGTTCCTTTTCCGTTTCAGAAAACGCCGCTGATGAATTAAGCCTCCTTACTCACCTGTCCTTCAGTTTCTTCTGGTCGTGACATTTACTTCCTCTCTTCCTGTTTGCTCCATCCTCTCCTGGCACCTCCTTCTGCTCTCCAACCTCTGGCTGAATGGACTTCACTCCCTCCTCCATCACTGCTCTCCTCCTCTCTCTATTTGGAGGCCAAACCTGACAATGGTTTAATTTGGTCCCCCATCTGTGTTCACCCATGATCCTTTGTTTCCCTAGTTCTACCAGATTACCTCTCTAACTCCTGCATCCCTTCTTTTTTCCTCTTAGGATTTATATTTTTGGATATGTGTGTAAAGCTACAGTACTGTACAGTACAGCGCTTTATGGCCCCAGCTAAGATCAAGGTCACAAATCAAGGTCAAAGTTACAAGAAGTTTTGGTTGTCCAGGCCCCAACTTATGATCCGCTCAAGACAATTTAACAAAACATGATACACATTTGTATCAACACTAGATGGAATGTCACATGTACATTTTATAACGTCAGCTAAAGTCAAGTTCATAAATCAAGGTCAAAGCTACGAGCTTTGTTCGGGGACACAACTTCTGATTTGCTCAAGGCAATTTAACAAAACGTAATACATATTTGTACCAACACTAGACGGAGTGTTGCATACACGTTTCTTCAACCCAGCCAAGGTCACAAATCAAGGTCAAAGATACAAGCGTTGTTTGTTCAGGGCCATAACTTCTGATCTGCTCAAGACAATTGAATAAAATGTGATACACATTTGTATCAGCACTAAACAGTGTCGCGTAAACTTTTTAGCACCCCAGCTAAGGTCAAGGTCACAAATTACGGTCAAAGTTACAAGTTTTGTTTGTTCGGGCCCTAACTTCTGATCCGCTCAAGAAAATTGCACAAAACGCGATACACATTTGTATCAACACTAGACTGAGTGTCGCTTACACTTTTCATCATCCCAGCTAATGTCAAGGTCACAAATCAAGGTCAAAGAGACACACTATTTGTTTCATAGCCATAACTTCTGATCTGCTCAAGACAATTGAACAAAACGTGATACACATTTGTATCAACAATAAATGGAATTTTGCATACACTTTTTAACACCCCAGCTAAGGTCAAGGTCCAGACCATTCCTATTGATCAGTGCTATTCAACTGGTGGCCCGGGGGCCAAATCAGGCCCTCGGATGACCTCAGTTCGGCCCACCAGTGGGTTCATATTAAATAAAACTTTATTTTAAACCATAAAACAAACTTCTTAATGACAATAACTGCTGGATGTCTGGCCCTTGAGCTCTTGACTTTCAGTAACTGTGGCCCCCGGAGTAATTTGGTTGAAAAGTCTTGCTATAGATTGCTGTGTAATAGCCAACTTGTTGACGGGTGGATAATACCATGACACCAATCTGTGAGTAAACTGGACAACCTGAGGACAAACCAAGTGTTATCCTTTAGCACAATCACAAGACCCGATATTCCTTTCTCCTAACAGTCTTCATTCTTGGCGGCAGTTACTGCCCTCTCGTTTTATATAATCACAAGATGCAAACTTTTAGAAAAGGACCACAATGAGGTCTTTTTCTTCTTTGTGGCGATTCTTTTGTAGACACAGAGTTGTTGCAAGAGAAATTCTTCTTGCAACAGATTCAGTGAGTGTTTTTAAAAAAGGACATTGGAGATTTGATGAGTGTAACGTCCACATGTTTCAGCCACTTACCAGCGATCAATTACACACGGAGGTAATGCAGTGAAAGTTGTGACACGCAAACAGCATGAAATATTAACGGAAGATCCTCTCCTGCTCCTCTGGACTATCATCTTCCAGCTATTGCAGTTTTTAAGAAACCAAATTACATTGTAGAGCGAGTTGGTTCTAGAGTTTAATGCAGATGCACGTTAATTAAATAAGGAAGTATAACTCTAGGAGATGTGTACAAATGTAATGTTTTGTAAGCATTTGGCTGGATTTTGCTAAAAGCCTATGATCTCAATAAGATTATTCCATCTCACTTTAGCAGCGGCTGTATATCCAATTCAGAGGAAACCTCAGCCATGCTTCCCTTTTCCATCTTTTCTCCGTTATGTAAAGTGAGAAATGTTTGAAGGCTAGAAAATAATGGAAGTTAAAGTGCTCCAGGGCAGATGTGGGCCACATATGGCCCGATGGCCAGAAGTGGCCCTTGGAAAATCTCCATCGAACCCCCCCAAACTCTTAGTTGAAAATAAAACAACTTAAAAACAAACAACTCAATTAAAAGCTGTGTTTTATCCATGAAACTTGAGGATGTTTAAATAAAAAAAACAATAAACGACTTTGACAAATACTTGAAAAACGTTTAAGACTGAAACTTCAAGACTCCAAAAAGCCAACGTATAATTTTTTGGATGCCTCAAGTGGAGGAGTTAGGGTATCTCAGGGTTTTGTTCACGGATGAGGGAAAGATGGAGCATGAGATCCACAACGGATCGGTGCAGCTTCTGCAGTATTGTGGAGTCTGTGCCGGTCCATTGTGGTGAAGAGGGAGCTGAGCTGCAAGGGGAAGCTCTCTTTTTACCAGTCGGTCTACGTTCCTACCCTCACCTATGGTGGCGAACTCTGGTTCGTGACCAAAAGAACGAAATCCTGGATCCAGGCGGCAATCTAAATGAGTTTCCTCTGTAGGGTAACCGGAATCTCCTTTAGAGATAGGGTGCAAGGTTCTGTTTTCCAGGAGAGACTTGGAGTAGAACCGCTGCTCCTCCACATCCAGAGGAGCCAGTTGAAGTGGTTCAGACATCTAGTAAGGATGGGCCCTGGACCCCTCGAGAGGTTTTCCAGGGATGTCCAACTGGGATGAGACGCTAGGAAATACCCAGATCAGCTGAGAGTCTGTCTTTCAGCTGCCCTGGAAACACCTTGCGGTCTCCCAGCAGAGGTGGCTGTGGACCTAGACCTCCCTGCTCAAGCTGCTTCTCCAGCGACCCGACTTGGGAATAAGCAGAAGATAATGGATGAATGGGTGACTTTTTTTTTTGTTAGGCTGATTGGTAACTCTAAATTGTCCCTAGGTGTGAGTGAGAGGTTGTTTGTCCCGTTTGTCTCTGTGTCCCTTTGATGGACTTGCGACCTGTCCAGGGTGTACCCCGGCCGTCGCACAGTGATTACTGGACACGGACACCGGTGACCCCCGTGACCCAAAATGGAAGAAGCGGGTAAAAGATAATAGATGGGTGACTTTTGGTCTTGTTGCATATTCAGGCTAATATATCGTCACAAGACCCAGTTGACATAAAGTATGTATTTTATTCACCAAGAGTTTTGGGGAACAACAAGATAAAGCCTGAAAAAAAGTCTTCCAGATCATCTGTATTAAATAGAGATTTTTCAATTCAAGTCGCCCTTTGATTGGGTTATCTTGATTAGGCCCTTTGGTACCACATATTTCTCACCCCTGCTCTAAAGGGATTATGGGGTTTCTGTAAATTATCACTTTGTATCAGAGTGTTTACCATTCATCCTTCACGTTCCCCACAAATGCTGAAGTCCTTTAAAGTTTCCATTCGGTGCATCTGTTCAGAACTTCATCCTCTTCCTTGTGTCTTTTCTCTCAAAGATTTCTCATACGAAGAAGCGCTGGGTCCAACCCTTGGTCTCGTGAAGTCCAGCTCCTTGGAGAGCCTCCAGACCGCCGTGTCCGAGGCCAAGCACAAGCACAGCCAAGCTCAGGTGCCGATCCACCGCCCACGCCCACACATGGTCCGAGGGCGAGGATGCAACCAGAGCTTCCGCATCGCCATCGACAAATCCTACGACGGTCCATCGGAAGATGGTAAAAACTTTAAATTTTGACTTTAAAACAGACTTTAAGTTGGATTGAACTTCTCCACTCGACAAGAAAAAAGATGAAACGGATCTCCGCACCAGAGGGAATGTGCCTCTTTAATACTGCAGATATTATAATATAGAAGTCTTTCTGGGCATTATATCAATTTTAAATTAGAGACCGCAATGCTGACGTTCAACCCTGAGGCTTTATAACGCTCTGGCACTCAAAAAGAGCCAGAGGCCTGCCAAGACAGGAGACGGTGCTCGGCCTAAGTACTTTAATGAAATGCTACACGATTTTATCCACTCAGCAATTTGGAAAGAACAACTTTATATCTTAGAACAGCATTTTTTTATGCTTCACCTCTCCATAGCTTATACATATGGCTGGGTACAATTGCAATTTGAAATAGACATTTTATGTGAATAGAAAGTTGCAAATATATATTTTCAATTTAGCATGAGTTAGACTCAAAAATCCTTCATGAAAGTGTATTTTAATGCTTTAAATCAAATCTGACACACAGCTCAGTTTTTATTATTCGTCTGTAAACTTTCTATTGTTTTGCCCATAACTTCTGATCCGCACAAGATAATTTAATGAAATTAAATCTTACACTTGTGCATCGTCGCTAGACGAAGTGTCTCGGGCATTTTCGCCCCACCCCAGCTCCAAGGTTAAGGTCACAAATGAAGGTCAAAGTTAAAATATAGTATTTGCTTGTCAGGAACATAACCTCTGACCAGCTCAAGACAATTTAACACAATTTCATACACACATGAAAGGTCACTGTATGATGGGTTGCATACCCTTCTCATCACAAAGGTCAAAAATCAAGGTCAAAGTTAAATAATGAATTTGCTTGTCTGGAGCAAAACCTCTGACCAGCTCAAGACAATTGAATGAAACTCGATACGCATATGAACCATTACTGTATGAGGGGTTGCATACGTTATCATCACAAAGGTCAAGGTCAAAAATCAAGGCCAAATTAAAAATACAGTATTTGCTTGTTGAGAACATAACCTCTGACCAGCTCAAGACAATTTAACACAACTTCATACACTCATGAAAGGTGACTAGATGAGGGGTCACATACTCTTCTCATCACCAAGATCAAGGCCAAAATCAAGGTCAAAGTTAAAATACAGTATTTGCTTGTTGAGAACAAAACCTCTGACCAGCTTAAGACAATTTAACACAACTTCATACACACATGAATGATCACTAGATGAGTGGTTGCATACCCCTCTCATCACCAAGGTCAAGGTAAAAAAAATAAAGGTCAAAGGTAAAATAAAGTATTTGCTTGTCTGCATCATAATCTCTGACCAGCTCAAGACAATTTAATGAAACTTCATACACACATGAATGGTCACTAAATGAGGGGTTGCTTACCCTTAACATCACCAAGGTCAAAAATCAAGGTCAAAGTTCAAATAAGATCTTTCCTTGTCTGGATCATAACCTCTGACATGCTCAAGACAATTTAATGAAACTTCATGCGCATATGAACCATTACTGTATGAGGGGTTATATACCCTTCTCATCAACAAAGTCAAGGTCACAAAGCAAGGTCAAATGTCAAGCAAGGTCTTTGCTCTTCTAGGCCACAGCTTCTCTCCAATATAATTTAATAAAACTTTATAAATGCATCACCAATATATGGGGTCTTGAACTCTCTGAGGTCAGGGTCAGATTGATTTTTCTTCTATGGCCATTAGTTATATACTTTCAGATTTATTTCATTGACAGTTTTCTGTTTTTTTTTCATTCAATAGATATTTTTTGTTGAGCTGGTATTGCTTCGAGGTAATTGGTCCATTGTCATCGGTTGCTGTATAACAGTTTGTCAATGGGCGTATAATTTACCGCATGCAGTACTCTTGTTGAACATTTCTACCAGGTCCATCTATAGACCTACTCTGACCTTTTTACCACGCCTCCCTGTCTGTCTTTGACCTGTGTACCCCCCCTCCTTTAGACGACGACGGGTCCGACTACAGCTCAGGCAACGAAACACCCGCCAGCACTTCCTCTCGCCAGGATCTGGACGAAGAGAAGAAGGTAACAAAGAAAACCAAAGCAAAGAAGAAGGAGAAGAAAAGCAAAGGCAAGAAAAAAGCCGAGGATTATGGGGACGAGCTGGAGAAGAAAACCAAAAAGAAAGGATTTGGCCTGCTAAGGTAGGAGCTCTTTAACCCCCCCTCCCAGAATAAGCAAACGTTTAATTTATCCTTCTTGTATAACGTAGAATATGCTGGAAAAGAATAACCTGCCCTACATTCCCCTTGGTTAACTTTCAACCAATCACCCCTCTGAGCACAGCAGGATTATGGGAAATGGGATGATTGGATATGAACGGAACCTTCTCAGTAATGGAGAGTATCCATTATTTCTCAATCTAAAGTCCTGCAGACACAGCACCAACCTTAAATGCTTGTCACCCCTTTATCAACCTGTCCTGGTTGTGATTTGTGGTCCAGCAGCAATCCTTATCTATTGGCAGTGACACGATGTGGTCAGTGTATCACCACACTTCCAACACTTGGGATTCAATTAGGCTGTGACGAGAGATAGCACGGGCCGAGCGTTGGGACTACAGATGGCTGATAAGAATCCAATCGGCCACAGTGTCAAGGGCAGTAATGGAAGAGATGTTGGCACGTTGAGGCAGGGACTGGGGAGCAGGGCAGGGACGGCAAGGGTGACGTGAAGGACACAAGAGGAGCCGAACCAGTTTGTAAAGATCTGGATTGTTTTCATACTACATAGCGTCATTTCATATAGATGAATTTATGAATTTAAAAATTCACTGATTAGTACCGATACACGGACTGGGGAATGCATGCTGCAGCTGTGAGATGATGCAGACTCTGCATTGTGTTGTTTTTTATTTTTATACGCCTGTCAAAAAAATGGACCGATTATAAAGTGCTTTGTGTTGTCATCACTGCATGTCAGGATGGAATCAGAATAAGCTTTATTGTCATTGCGCCGAGATACAACGAGAACATGTACGTACTGTCATCCGAAAGATGGACCTAGTGCACAAAGCTGCTGTTAATTAGCGCGGCCCTCTTATTCTTATTCAGGATAATATTTTTGCTTAGACGAGAAAAGGGAAGAAAACATGAGGAGAGACGGTATAAAAAAATATCTCTCACACCGTGTCCAAGACGGGGCACGGTTTGAGGCATCAAAAAACCTTCCACAGCAAAGCAACATAAATAGACATAATATACATAATAATAGTCCAGAGCCAGAGTCCATTTGTAAACCGGCCACCCTGATCATTTGAGGAAACTAATTACTTTGCCATCGCACCTGGCAGTAGAAAAATCTGCTGCCTTTGCTCTTGAGTGTCGTCACTCTGCTCCAACTTGGACAAAACAATAAGAAAAACTTGCCTCTGTTCTACTACACAGTGTCTCTTTACGATTTATATGGTAATGCAGGTCAGAACATTCCTGACGCCTCCTTACGTCTCTATGCCGATGATATAGTTTGTTCATTGTCGAGCTAAAACAGTTGCTAAGGTTTTCCAGCTTCTACAGTCTGCAGTTTACATCATTCAGTCAGACTTGTTTCAAACTGTTGTTAAATGTTGATAAAAACGAAAGGGATGTTTTTTTGTTTACTGTTCATTGCTGAACATTTTTTTGACATGACTAGGCCTGTCGTGGACAAATTTTGCTGGGACGATTAATTGTCTCAGAAATTATTGCGATAAACGATTATATTGTTCGAAATTTGACAACAATTATTTAGTAATTATTGTCAAAATTTAAGAAGAAATGTTTGTTAATGTGTTTTGTGTGTAGCACCTTTTTTTGACCACCGGATGGCAGTATAAGACTGTTTGAACTGAAGGATGGATAGTGAGGGAGCGAGCAAAATGTCTCTTTAAGAAAAAATGGGAGAGAGGCCCCTTGACGTGACATGGACTTTCGTTCCTGTTTTTCAGTTCTCAAAATGGCGGACGCTCTGTCTGGTTTGAGCTCTTTAGCATAGCATCTGTCACACAAAGCTTTTAATAAAAAATCAGTAAACAAGTTCTCAGCTTCTTTTTGCAGAGAAAAACACATTTTTAGAAGAAGGCACGGGTTTCAATCGTGAATTTTGGAACTTTGACAAGACGGAGTTTTTTTCCAGAGGTCGGCTTGTTAGCTTAGCTCGTAGCTTAGCTTCTCAGCGTAGCTGCTTTTAACGATCCAAAAACACGATTTTGGACGGTTAAAACAGATTTTAAAGAGAAAGGGAGGGGTCAGTGACGAACACTGGAGTTGATCCTTTTGTCATCCAGTGTCTTCAGTAGAAAGAGAGAGACACGAAGAAACGATAAAGCCGATAAATTAGAATGAGGTTGATAATTTTCGTTTATCATGCGATTAATTGATTTATTGTTTATCGCGACAGGCCTACTTGTGACAGTTTTTAAAACGAGTTAAATTGCATATGATTATTGTCAAAATCGCATTGTTAAATTTAAACTTGAGCTCAGTTGTGTTATAGCACAACGAGCGGTGAATCACATTTTTTTTTATGCTAACAACCTTTATTTTATTGGATATTTGGTAGGTAAGCACATCGTCCTCGGACTACAGATGCACGAACCGAACACACATCATTTGTTTTTTTCCTGCAGAAGATATGGCTATAAACGTTAAAGGTGCAAAGATTAGATTTGTTTTTGTTCCAAATTCATTGATGCATTTGAGTCTTTTTTTTTATAAAAGCCCTGTTATAATCCACTTCTTCCTTCTGCGTCTTCCTCTTTTGGTCGTTTTTTTGGGTTCACCTTCTTGTAGATGTTGCGTTACCACTCAAAAGCTAATTTTAACTTGGTTTTTTTAGTTTAAGACAGGGCACAAAAAATATTAAATGGTATTTTCTACTTGCCACAGTATGTTTTCTAATTGAGGACGAATTAAACACACACAGGTCGTTCAGTCACCAGAAACACTCAAAGGCAGCCTACACTGGGCTGATTGCGGTAAAAGCTTCCATATTGCTGCTCCACACCCTCCCCCCTCTCCGCCTGGCCTTTATCTCACCGAGTTGATTGGCATTGAACTCGAAATATGACTTAATTAGCTGCAGCATTGCTCCGTTCAATCTGATTGGAGCTCTCAAATGGTGTTTTACTCCAATGGCAGCATTAGGAAAAGGGCAAATTATAAACATATGACCTCAATTTACCGTAGCGGAGAACGTGTGAGCAACAACAGCTTGCACGGCGAATGTTGGACGTCGGCCCCGTCCTTCCTCAGCGGCTGTAAATATTTATTTTAGCTGCCGCGCTGTTTGAAGAGCAACTTGTGTTTGGCTGCAGATGAGTGTTACAAACAGTTGGTTGTAAGGTGACCTCTGGAAATCACATATTTGTTATAGAAGTGTTTGTTTTTTTCCCCACTAGATTATATTTGTGACCTTGTTATATATCATTTTTACAAAGCGTTCAAGTAATTATAATAAAAATGACTTCAGGGACCATTCCTGAAGAGGCTTCGATCCTTTGGTCCTAAAGTAGACGAGCGGTACGCCGATGTCCCCCGCCGCCGAGGCATTTGAATCATGAGTATTTCTAGTTTTGAAGATGTTTTTCTTCATTGGAGTTGAACAGAATGTTTTTAGGTACAAGATATTCAAGTGGAAAGGAGTTGCACTGTGGAGAAGAACAGATCATTTTTTTTTCTTTTATCCATCACCAGGTGCAGGGGCAGAGCCAGGGGGTGGCCCATGGTGGCCTTGGCCATCATTAATTAATCTTTGGCCACCCCAATCATTTCAAACAACTTTAAAGCAACATAAAAACTAGAAAGCATATTTTCCTCAAATGATCGGGATGGCCAGTTTATATATGTACGTTGGTGGCCATCTTGGATTTTGTCATGACAACCCAATTTTTGAAAACGTTTCTAAACATCGTAATAAAAATTGTCAGCTTTTTCCGTCCAACCTCCTTTCTCAAACTTGCGTCCTGTCTCCCGGATTGTTAATCTATGACAAATGGCAGTGCCCTTCTCACCCAGCGACCCACCGCTGGTCTCGGCTGTATTCAGTGGACGGCGTCGAAGTCTCTGCCTGGAAGCGTCGCCACAGACAACAACTCTGACAGGATCAATAGTTGAAGAGAATATTTACACAGCATGTTAGATTTTATTTAATTTTTGTCACCTGCTGCTTAAATGTGAAAGTCTTTGCTCGTGTTTTTCATGGGGCCAGTTCAATTCAAGATGGCGGCTGCACCTTTGAAGACGAGTCCAGATAAATGGCTAGAACTCTGTTCGTTTTGTAAATAATTACGTAAATTTTGAGGCGATTCAGTCACGACTAGGCCTGTCGCGATAAACAATGAATCAATTAATCCTACGTTGAATGAAAATGATCGACCTCATTTTCATTTAACGGCTTTATCATTTCTTCATGTCTCTCTCTTTCTTCTGAAGACACTGGATGACAAAAAGCTCAGCTCTTCACTGACCCCTCCCTTTCTCTTTTCTCTTTAAAATCAGTTTTAACCGTCCAAAATCGTGTTTTTGGATCGTTAAAAGCGGCTAAGCTATGAGCTAAGCTATCAGGCCATCTTTGGGGAAAAAAACCTCCGTCTTGTCGAAGCTCCAAAATTCACAGTTGAAACCCGTGCCTTCATATAAAAAGTTGTTTTTCTCTGCAAAAAGAAGCAGAGAACTTGTTTACTGAGTTTTTATTAAAAGCTTTGTGGGAAAAATGCCATGTTAAAGAGCTCAAACCACACCGAGCGTCTGCCATTTTGAAAACCGAAGAAAGACGGCACATGTCACGTCGAGGGGCCTCCCTCCCATTTTTCTTAGAGACACGCTGCTCGCTCTCTCCCTATCCATCCTTTGGTTCAAACTGTCTTATATTGCCATCCAGTGGTCGAAAAAAGGTACTACACTGCAAATAAATTAACCAACATTTCTTCTTAAATTTGACAATAATGACTAAATATTGTCAAATTTGAAACATTATCGTTTATCGCAATAATTTCTGAGACAATTAATCTTCCAGCAAAATTTGTTATTGTGACAGGCCTAGTCACGACATACTCGGAGCAAGACTGCACATAATGTTATTTACATCTTATACATCATACATGAAAGGCGGTTAGCAAAATGCATTCTGTGGTGAAATGTTCGGCCTTTTAATGTGAAAAGTAAAA